TCACAAAAGCTACAGTAGTCTCAACATAAACAAGTTTAAGTTGTTACCCTATTCATGCTACATGCGTCCAATAAAATGCTCAGTCGAGAATTTTTTTATTCATTGTTTCGCATACTTATTTTTTTAAAGAGCATCAGAGGAGGGCAGAATAAAAATAAAATTCCTTTTTCTTAATTAGCGAATAGTTTTGCCAAAAACATCCAGATGGAGGAGAAAATAAAAATAAAATTTTATTGGTGAATGTAAAATGGGATGGTTAAATGCTTCAAATTCATATAATTAGGAAGAAATATACATCTTATCTTTGGAGATTTCAGGGCAGCGAATCGCGTAATAATTTCTTTTTTTAACTTGTTTTTTTTCCTGAAATTTCCATTTTTTGTGGCGACAGGTGCGCTAATTGGCCAAAAATTTGATATTATTTTATTCGAAATCATCAATATCTGCGTTTGGCGAGTTCGCTAAACAAGGTATAAAAAGAAGTCTCGTTTCAATATAAAAAAAAAAATATTTTGTCATTCACATCGCATCACAAAATAATATTGGGAACAGTGATGGCGCCAGGATCTGCCCAACAGGGGGAGGGGCTAAAGGCCCATACAGGGGAAGGCTAGACGAGCGAAGCGAGCCTCACTTCGCTAGGAGGGGGACCACGGGGGCCACCTCTGGGGGTGGCTTTGCCCCTTGGAAGCTACGGATATTAAACAAAATAGTATGATATTTGATACATACTTTATTAAAGATATAATTATCTAAAGCATCTTTTTACTTTTATTTACATGATTGTTGATTTCCATCATTTTTTTTTCTGACTGCCTTAATTCTGACATTGGTTGCTAGCACCTTTGTCATGTTCTGATTTCATACTGCCCATTAATTTAGCAGGCACTAAAACGTTTTTTTTTTTTTTTCGAAAATGAAGTTTCCTTCAAGAGTAGCAAATAAGAAACCGAGGTTGTGAATGAGTGACACAACACTGTAAAATTTCTAAAACTTGATTACAAGACCAAAACAAATATTTCTTTGTATTTTGAAACACAAACACTATTCAACAAATGGCGCTCTGAACTAATAGAGGACTGTCGGCGCATAGCGATGTTTTACTAAGCTCATCGATTCTATCGAATGACAGTCAGCCAAACATTGACACAAATTGAAGACAATACCATTTTATCAAATTATTTTATGCCCCAGGCCTATGTGTACTTTCATTTTATATTAATAATTATATTTTATTCACACAAGATTGGAACGGATTTCATTCATTCATACATTTCGTTGTTATATACCGAGTTATTGACAAATTTTAATCACGTTGATCACGGGTGCACTGGATAGCAGCATTTACTAAGGGCCCTGGGGCATACCCAAGTTGCCCTAGCCTAGTGTATCCTACTGACGTAGCTTGGCCTACTAGGGTCTAGCTAGCCCGGGGGAGGAGGACTTTACTGCCCATTTGCTATAGCACCACCCCCCCCGTCGGGGAAGACGATATATTTTGTCGGGGAACAAACAAATAAAAAAAATATTTACATGTAATATTCGTTTAGCCACCATATCGTTTGTGTTAACTTTTCATCACAACAACCACAATAACAATAATAATAATAATAATAATAATTCAATGAGACTAATTAAAAATAATTTGCGTTCTGTTATGACAAATGCTCATTTAGATAGCCTCATGATGGTTGGAATACATCGTGAT